TAGACATGGTACCCAGAAATTTGTGCACCTGACCACATTATTTGATCTGAAGGAAGTGCCAGAAATGAATAGAAAAATAATCTGTGGTTAAAAACGTTCTAGTCAGAAAACAGCACATTTTCTATCTGATGAGAAGATAATTGGGTGTCTGAGGAATAGTGAAAGGTGACTGCTTTTAAATCCTTTTACATTTTGAACCATGTGAAAGCAGAGTGCTCTTTATCTTTCTTTCTTTATGGAGGAAGACAGTGAGAAAAAGACAAGAAGATAGAGAGCTGGAGGAGAGGGACCACATGCTCGCTGTCATTCCTCCAAAGCTTTCAACACATGCAAGGGATGGGGAACACAATGGAGACCCCCATGCAGGTGTCAGGGACCCTGTGACTCGAGGCCTCACTGTTGCCTCTCGGGGTCCATGTTAGTAGGAAGCCCGAATCATGAGACAGAGTCGATGTTAAATCCAGATAACTGTTTTGGGACGCAGCCATCAACGGGAGTCCAGTCACTGAACTGAACGCTTGCCTCGGACACATGTGAAATTTTAAAAATTAAAAACAATTCCCTCTGAAAAGGATAACTGGACGTAGAAAAAGTTATACCAATGGACTCACTATTTTAGAATAAAACCCCAATGGAATTTGATTTTTAAAACTCTGCCTGTGTATCTCTCTCTGTCTGTATGATTGGTTTAGTACTATTGTCCCACCTATTGCCTTTTTATTCGTTTTTGAAGATTCTGGCAAACAAGATCTCTGAGACTTTCCTAACCTCTGCCAGGCTCTCTGCAGTTAGTTCTGTTTCATTTCAGGGGCATCATTGACCAAGTGCTAGTACGGATGCTGCCCACCACCACCCCTGTCATTCTTTATTATTTAGTTACATGTCTTTCTTCTTCACTAGACGGAATGATACACCAGGCTGGGAATTATTCCTCATTGCCTTCCAGAACTTTGGTGTTTTGTTTTTAATTCAATATCTCCTGTTTGATTGAACTGCTTCTAGCACTAATAGGGTCAACCTGTTTTTAAGCAGGGCAGCACTCCTAGAAAACATGAGAGGGCAGAAACAAGGTAGGAGGTGTCTGAAACAGCTAATTGAGAAAGAGGAATGACCCTGCAGGTCAGCCAACAGGATGGCAATGGAGGATGTGGCAGGAGTTAGGCTGGCAGTGGCTCACATTGCTTCATCTTATTCCTACACCCGTTGCTTGAGATGACTGGGAGTAAACTTGCTCACAGTCTGAAAACATAAAACCAGTGATTGTGAAAGGAAAATTATTTTTTAAAAAAAGATGATTGAATCTGGAGGAAGGCAGAACAGATCCTTAGGAAAAATTATAAGCATAGATGGTATGTTTTAGGGAACAATGATGAAAGGGGTCTATGATCACTAGTATGCAGTTAACAGTGTATGGTAGGAGCCAACGATTAGCATACAATACCTCATTTGTTTGGAAATAGCTTTCCAGAATTCAATGACATTTGAAGCAAATTCCTTTACTGAATTCCAAACTGATTTTTTCTTTCAGGAAGCGATTTTGGATTGTCCTCACACATGTCTTTAGCTAGTATAGCTTTATGAGTTTTCACAATTCGAGATCTTATCTCTTCAGTATTGCTGAACTTCAAAATCACCCCCTTTTCACTAGTTGCTTGTCAAGTTCAAAGTAAGAAATATTGATTTGTTCTACACTAAAATTTATATATATTTGTGGAATCTGTCATGTGGCCTTCAAAAAAATGTTTTATTCATAACCTATCTTGACTTCGATCACTCACCCACAATATGGTCACCTTCATTTACTTACAACATGGTCACTGTGACTCTTTGCTGTCTTGCCCCATGTCCTGCCTCTATGATTTTATTTCTGGTCTTCCTGCTAGAGGCAATGTCCTTTCTCCCTAATCACATATCTCTAAATGCTCAATCAAGACATGCATCCTACAAGCTAAAATGAATGTTAGGTGACTTCCCTGACACTTCACTAGTTAACACATTTCACCCTTGTAACCATTTTCTACACCTATCATGATGTAGATTTGAGCTTTTTTTTGCCATTACATGCATCCTATAACATTAAGACTGTATTTCCCCAGTATTAAACTCTACATTTGAAGAGATGAATAGCATTATTTTATTGTATTTATATCTAGGTTTTATATATATATAGGTTGTTTATATATAGGTTTTATATATATATATATCTAGATTAGCTAAATCAATGGATGTCCATTATTACCTAGATCATAAAGCAGTGTTTACTACAGTGATGGAAAACAAAACCAATATCACTAGCACCGACCATTCTCCTGGACTCCAGTCATGCACTTACAAACAGCCTTGCTGGTAACCACAGGGAAATGCACAAACTCAGCAGGCTGACTGCTTAGATTCAGCCCTGTTTCTACCCCATTCCAGATGTGTCATCTTGACAATTCACATACATCTCTGTGTCTACGTTTCCTTATCTATAACAACCTACAAAACAAGGATAATGATGATACAAACACATTTTTCATGCTAAACGAGGTCTTGGCATAAAGATCCTAGAAAAGAAGGCAGTGAGTAGGAAGATGTTAAAAAAGTGATAGAATGTAACTATGACCACCTGGATTTTGCACTACCAATTAAACTCTTCAAGCCTACTCCTCTGCACTGCTTGTTCATAGCAATAATGGCAACTGCTGTGGGTTATATGGTGTCATCACCGTCCCCTCCCATTCCTACAGTGATCTCACTTAAAGACCAGGTCTTTACAGAGCAATCAAGACAGAAGTTATTGGAGAGAACCCTAATCCAGAGTGACTGATAGTGCTTTCCTAGGGAAGGAGTTGGAAGTATTGATAAGCAAAGAAGGGAGTTGCTATGTCAACACCAAAGAAAGAGACAGCCACCCACAGCTGCATTGCATATACAGAGGCCCTCTGGCCCCCAGCCAAAAGCAAATTGAGAGTTTTAGCATGAATGCTTAGGAGAAAATGTGTTGTTCAAGATACCCAGCTAGTGATATTATGTAATGCGAACTTTAGCAGAAGAATGCCACATATTTACATCCTGGGTTTCAGTGAAAAGAATTAAGAATTCTCCTTGAGGTTCCACACAGAGACCCAGACTCCACCTCTGGTCCTGTTCATAACCATCTGGCCCTAACACACCTTTATCTTCTTTGGCTGAAAGAGAAAGATTAGTTCCTAAAGTTTTCCACCTTCAGGATTGCTCTAAAACAAACTCCCATATCCTATATCTTCAGTCGATATTTTTAATTGCTTCCTAAAAACATATAGTTATTTGAGAACTAAAGCCCTTTGTCATCTAGTTGGATCCACATCTCACACAGTATGTGCCATTTATCATTTGCTTCATACTTTTCATTCATACCAAATGACTTTTCTGAGAACACAGTCGTGGCCTATGTCTTTTTTTTTTAATCTTTATACACACAGACACACATATATATGCATATATTATATATATATATCATGTTAGCAAGATTTTTTGAGCATCTGCTTTGTGCTACAAGACGTGATATAGAAGTTAGAATTCCTGGAGAATCTACAAATTACCAGACTTCTGTAGTTTGGTAGGCATACTGAAAGATATCTCATGAATTTACAATTTAATCTTGAAATGTTGAGACCGAGATTACTATTCCCATTTCAATGATGACAAAACGAGGTATCTAAATTTCTAACTAATTTGCCTGCCATACATCGTCAGAAAATGGATGGGATACATTCATATTTGTCTGTTCCATTCTGCTTTTCCTTTGTGAATAATGGCCCTTGATACAAAGTGCAGTCCAAGTGTACCTTCTCAATGAAGCTCTCTCATCTCCCCAAAGAACACTGACCACAGATACTTCAGACCAATTTATCAAAATTACAGTGTTTGAATTTATAGTGTATGTCTTTTCTTGTAAGTCTAGATATTGCTTCTTGGGGAAAAAAAGAACTTCTCTACAATTGAAAATACGGTTTCCATTATGGAAAAATCTAGAGGTTCTATATAACTTTGTAAATTATTTCTAAAGTTAAAAAGTCCAAGTTCTGCAGTTTCCTTAAATGTCCTAACAAGGTTCTATTGCAAAATAAAAAGATAATATTGATGATTCCCCATAGCTTTTGCCTTCCTAAAACTGCCTCAAAGTTTTTGATACCAATTATATTACAGAATGTCAAAGAATTTCTAACACAGTCTTAATTTGCAGGCTTACAATAGTGTATATGAGCCTAAGGGAGTACAGTGGTGAAGAAAAGAAAAAGAATATTAAAGCAAAGACACCCAAAGTACAAACACCAGCAAGAGAAGCTCTGTGAATGTATCCTCTGTATGACTAGTTCTTTAACTGTTAGATTCCAGAGCTTGGAATAAGGTGAGAATGACTTGACAATAAACCTCTATAAGGAAATCACAGGCACTGTAAAACTTGGATATGTTACATCAAAGCCCAGAAACTCTTAATTATATTGCTAAAAAGTTTTAGAGTTTGTAACCAAGTGATCAGATACAATTAAAAATGTGAAGACACAGCATTTTAAAAAAGCACAGTGGTCCTCATTTCCAAAAGTTGAGACACTTTTAATTATTTGTCCTGATATGGACTTCATGAGCAGAAATAAACCTGCTATGTCTTCATAAAAGCAATTTGTATATGAAATAAGACCTTGACTTAAATACACATTCTCCCCAAAGTAAGATTTTTTAACTTGTGAAATAATTAGGATGAGTTAGCTGTATATATTAACTGACTATAGAATCCACATGAAGTTTAAAATTTTTTCCTTGTTATTTGTTCACATCATTGTAAGTCAATGAAGACATTCTTTAGCAGCTAATGGGACGGTAACAAGGAAGCCACTGTGCTACCTCTGTTAGTGATAATGGTAGCAGTGAGTTTAGTTTTTCTCACGCTGCTCTTAATTTTCATGACCTTAGTCTGTTCCATTCCCACATGTGTACCTTTTGTACAGTCCGAATACCCCATGACAAGGTTTGCCTACCTCGGTAATGAATGATTTGGCTGTGGCAGGATTCATCACCAGGATGGCTCGCCGGAGAGTGTCTCGATAGCGATTCAGCTCTTCTATTCTCATGGTATCAAAGAGAGTTGTGATCATCTTATTGATGTTCTTTTCTACCTTCTGAAGTGCGACATCCATCCCCTGCTGAGAGACTCTGTCCAAAAATTCTTGTATTCCACGGATATCTGGGAATAGCAAAAAAGCCCATAAAAATGTGAATTACAACAAGAACGAAGAAAAAAAATTACTTCATCTGTGTCCCAAAATTTTATTGTTTACTCACATCAGCTAAAATCACTGATTGCTGAAACTCTTAAATGCTTTCACTCCCTGGTATGATTTCACATGCTTGTAGGAGAAATGTACATATTAAATTTTAAAATTTAATTTGAGAGGACAAGAGGAAAGGAAGACGTCCTAGAGAGAGGAGAGGGAGGGGATCATGTGTGCTGTTCTATACAGTTGGGCCAGGCTGAAACTTAAAGATGGAACTTCAGTCAGGGTCTTCCACATTGTTGAGCCATTACCTTCTGCCTCTCAGAGTGTGCACTAGCAAAAAAGTGAAATGGAGTGGGGACTTGAATCTAAACAGGTGGACAAGGAATGTAGACATGGTTTTCCCCTACGTATTTTGTTTATTATTCATTTTTTAATAATTCAAATATAATATTCCCTCCCTTAGTGCTTCTTTTTCTCCCTCTCCTATCTCTTACTCCCTCTCCCTTCCTTTTCCCCTTTCTTCCTGTTCTTCTCTAAAATAACATATTTTCAATTTATATTGTGTTCAGATACTTAACGCTCCACGAAATAACAAGTTCAACAAATAAAATTAAAAGACCCTAATTCAACAGGAATATGATGATTAAATGGAAGGGTGATCATCTCACCCATATACAGTGCATTTGCAAATAACCTCAATTGTTAAAAATGTAGCAGTTGAGTATTTTTACACATTTGTGCGACAAAGATATAAAACAGAGTTTACAAAGACACATTTGCAGCAATATTGATATACAGGTATTTCTTTCTCTTCTTTTTTTTTTTCCTTTTTCAAAATTTCAGCTTAAGTATTTAAAGGAAAAGAACATACATGTATTATTTTCACACCTAAATACCTGCTTGGGGATTACTAAAGTCACATGGATTCTCTGTGTATCCACTTAGCATTTTATATGATCCCAACTCTGAAAACTCTTGAGACAGGGAGGATGGACATGGTTTATCATAGAGTTTACTTCTCTGAAGCAAAATATGAGAAGATAATGAATACATGCCCTTTATTCTTCAACAGTGAAGAGCAAGGTCAGGCTCATGGAAACCATGAAAGCAATGATGACATCTAAATCAAGACAGACAACATTTCTTTCCTTCTCTCTTTTTTAAAGATCTATTTATTTTTTTTGGAAAATCAAATATACAGCGAGGAGGAGAGACAAAGAGGAAGATTTTCCATCCACAGAATCACTTAGCAAGTGGCCACAACAGTTGGAGCTGAGCTGATCCACAGCCAGGAGCCAGGAGCTGCTTCTGGGTCTGTCACAAGAGTGCAGGATTCCAAGACTTTGGGTCATTCTCGACTGCTTTCCCAGGCCACAAGCAGGGAGCAGGAAGGGCAGTGGAGTATTCAGCATACAAATTGACTCCCCTATGGGATCCCAATATATGCAAAGCGAGGACTTTAGCCACTAGCCTATGCTGGACCCCAACAGCCAACATGCCATCGCAGAGGCAACAATATCACTGCATTCGACATTTATATGTAGATAGAACAAGAGTTTTCAGATGTGCTCTTAAAAGGAGCTCAGGTAATTTGGGGCACAAACAAAACAGCTGCATTGTGATCACCGGATGAGTGCTTCTTCTAGAGTCCCACTCTGAAAAACTTGGCACAAGATAATGTTCTCTTCAGGAACATGGAGGCTGTTCTGCGTATGTGAAAAACAAAACTTCAAAACCGGAGTCTGCATTTGAGAAAGCACTGGGCAATGTTTTTGAATGTGATGATTGTGAAATAAGCAAAATTCTGACAAGTTATTAAATAAAGTACTCATTGTCCACAACATATTTAGTTTAGGAAGGTGAAAAAAGTTTATGAATTTGTATTTTGGGAAATATTGGAAGAAGGATAAATTACTGAAAAGTTGCAAACATTTCTTCCTAGACTTTACTGGATTTTTATGGAAGAAGGGATTTAACTGATAATATGCCTGGAAGGTATGTCTGGCACAATATAATCTGAAGACAGCAGATTTGCTTTTGCTCTATCATAAGCCATATTTTACATAATATGTCCATAGTATAAAAGGCTTAAAGTGAAAATAATTGGTGAAAGATAAGAAATAAATGGAATTTAGGGACCTATTATGAACAGACTACATCTCTAAATCCCTAATTGATTGTGATAGCCGGCATGAAAAATGTGCCTCTCAAGGGCAATAATTAATTTAAGAGTAACAAATAAACTGTCAGAACAAGAAAAACAGCTACAAATTTAGAAATTGGTATTTAGTCATGCAAAATTTATATTGGAAAGATTATAAATTAATAGATGTTTGCTTTTATTTTACTCACTGTTAAAAGAAATTTAATTTACTTATTTAAATTGAGTTAGAGAGACAGAGAAATATTCCATTACTGGTTTACTCCTCAGGTATCTATAAAGGCCGGAGCTGAGCCAGGCTGGTGCTAGGAGTCAGGAGCTTCTTTCAGGTCTCCCATTTGGGTGCAGCGGCCTAAGAACTTGGATCATCGTCTGATACTTTCTCATGTACATCAACAGGGTGCTGCATAGGAAGTGGGGTATCTGGCTACAACCCCTGCTTTAGGCAATGGCTTTAACCCACTATGCCACATTGCTTGCCCATGATTGCTTATATTTTATTTTTATTACATTTATTTTTAAAATATGTTTTTGTTTTATTTGGGTAGCGAATTTTAAAGATAGGGAAGGAGGAATAGAGGGATGTTTCATCTCCTAGTTCAACCCCCAAATAGCCATAAAGGCAAGAGCTCAGCTGCTTCGAAGCTAGAATCCAGATGCTTCTCTCAAGTCTCCTACATGGGTGCAGGGGCCCACAGATTTGGGGCATCCCTTGTTGCTTTTCCAAGCCATAACCAGAGAGACTGATTGGAAATGGAGTAGCTGGGACAGGAACCAGGGCATATAAGGGATACTGGCACTAGCAGGCACAGGATTACTTCGAAGTGCCATCACTAAGGTCCCCAAATACTTCTCCAATTTTAATAAATATTGTATGTCTAGGTAACTGGTTGTTTTCTTCAAAATAAATAACTTGCATATATTCTATATACTGTTTCTATATTATAAATACAGGTTGTCAGCATCAAAGCAAGCTTAATGAACAAAAGCTACAGGAGAGCAAGAGGTAGACCAGCTGCAGTAATATCAGTATTATACAATCAACATACAGCTTAGTCAAAAAATACCAAGGGTGTAAGACACTGAAGCATGGACTAAAGAAAGCATGAAATCTCCTGAAATGTAGTAGGCACAGCTAGAAGCACAGCAACAGGACCACATACCTGCTAAGTGTTATGAATCAGGATCACTTAGGAAAATTACTAAACATACTGAAGTCTGGTTGCACCCTAGTATCATCATACCTATAGAATAGATAGCAGAATGTATATCAAAGTATACAACCAACGAGACAAACTAAGCATGGAAAGGGATCTCAGATGCCCTGGGGGAAAAATAGCAGGCCTGGAGTGTAAGTTTCCAGAACATTTAGACCCTATGAAATCTTCTAATTACAAAACCAAAATACAAATGCAACCTTGTTAGGAGCCACAGACTCACGGGCCTTAGACTTGCCCTACCTGAGAGTCTGCTGCATTGCAAAGCCTACCATGGGCAAGCAGGGCCACAGCAAGCAGGATATTGTGGCCAGAACATCCCGTGCAAAGCAAGCGGAGCAGAACCTCCACCCTTGTTCCTGTGGAAATCATTAGTTCCTCCCCTGTTTCAATATAGATGATTAGTTCCTTCCCTGCTTCAATGAAGATAATTACTTCCAGGAAACCCCTCTCCTTCTCTTCCTCCCCTAGAGAAGAAGGTATATATACCAGGAGTAAAATAAAGGGCATTGGGCATTCTGTTTCACCAAGCACATGAGTCCATGTGTTTCTTGAGCCAGCGGCTTGGGGGCTAGCAGCCTGGCATCCCCAGTCCACCCTCAGGGTTTGATCGTTGTGTCCTGCAGGTCGGGACACAACCTCACACATTAACCTTGAGAAAAAGTTTGTTTCACCATGACAAACAATAATTAAACAGAATATTAAATACAAATCACCAGAAGCGTAGGACAAACAATGATAAGGATGGGAAAGAGCATTTGTTAAAATATTCAAAGAATATTTCTGGAATATATATTTAAACTGTGATCTGAAGCCTGAGAAGACACTATCTATGCAAAGACAAGAGTAAAGACTAAAAATCCAAGGCAGTGACAGACTCGTGTGTGGAGAGCCTGAAGGATTCCAAGGTAGATGGTTAGCCATAAGTATCGAGCAATACACAGTAAGTCTGGAAAGTGACTTGCTATCACCATTTACAATGAACTTTAACAAAATCTCTCCTTGACATTTTAGCTTTCACTTTTTTTAAAAAAAGATTTATTTATCACTTCTTGGACTTTTGGCTAAGATCAAGAGTAAAATCAAGATTTATTTATTTTTATTGGAAAGTCAGATATACAGAGAGGAAAAGAGACAGAGAGGAAGATCTTCCATCTGATGATTCACTCCCCAGGTGCATGCAACAGCCAGAGTTATGTCAATCCCAAGCTAGGAGCCAGGAGTCTCCTCTGGATTTCCCATGCAGATGCAGGGTCCAAAGTCTTTCGGCCGTCCACTGCTTTCCTAGACCACAAGCAGGGAGCTGCATGGGAAGCGGGGATGCCAGGATTAGAACCAGCACCCAATTGGGATCCCAGTGCATTCAGGGCTAGGACTTTAGCCACTAGGCCACCGTGCCAGGCCCTAGCTTTCATTTTTTATTCGAAGCTATGCAACACCTATGTTGTAATTTGGTCAGAAATGTGGTGTGATTAAATACCATTACTATACCTCTCTCTCTCTCTCTCTATATATATATATATATATTGAAATATTGTCTTGATCTGCAAATGAATAATTATCTTACGGAAGCTTTCAAAGCTTATAC